TGTTGCAAAGTAGTGGTGCATCAAGGTGGTGGCTTGTGTGGCTGTTGTTATAGAGGGTGGTTAATTTTTAAAATATCCCCAATTTCTCTCTCCTTCCTTAATCACATGGTCCTCCTTTTTCTTAATCTCCATTTTTTATTTTTTGTCTAAAATTCCGTGTTGACTTCAAAGTTGCAAAAAATTGTGAAGTAGAGGTAGTATAATTTAATAATATACTTGTATGACAACAAGCGAACAACATTAAGAAGAAATGATCTGGTCTTGTATGATACTTTCTAATTTATTCTGATTTTAGCAAGAAATGCCTTAAGCGCCTAAGGCGATTCGAGACTGCCCCCACCTCCCAATTTCTGACTCTGCTAAACATACATTTTAAATATTTCGTCTTACTTCTGCTCATCAGCCTAAATCATAGAGATACCAACATAATCTATCATCATTATTTCAACTTACATTCCTTGAGTTCTTTTGTCTCCTCAATCAACACGATTCATCGGCAAACATTATTTGCCATGGTATATGCTTCCTCCATAATTTATTTATTACAAAGTACAATAATTGCTTTATACAATAATCATACTCCCTCCGTGTTACACTTACTATTTTGACAAGAAACTACATTTAAATATTATATCTCACTTCTCTCATGGTCTCCACCTAAACTCATTACTATTTTTTTTTATTATATCTTTCCTCTTACATTCATTACCTTTCAATAAATTATTAACCCTACTATCTTTCTTTTATAATTTTTTAATACTCCAACTACTCCACTTACCTCTTATTTTATTTAAGTCAATTAAATTGCCTAAAACTATGTGCCGGTCAAACTGTAACACTTATTAAACACGGAGGGAGTACACATTTTTTTACCATCTAATGTGATTTTTATGTTAAGAGAAATATAATCATATAGGTAGTGTTAGCTTCATCTTCGACTTTTTATATAATGTTTACTTGAATATAAATAAAGAAATTAATGATCAAAGTTGTATATTATTAAGCATCAAAGTCAGTTATTGCAATAATTAAAGAATAGAATAAATATACTTTTAACTTGAACTTAATTGTCATTTCGTCCATGACTACAACCAAAAGAAAATGGCTAAGTGTAGAATAAAATATATTTAAAGGAAACAAAACGAAATAATCAACAATAGTTGGCTCAAATGGCAAGCAGGTTGATGTTGCTTAAGGGAGGTTTCGAGTTCGAGCCTCACTAAATACGGTATTCTCTTATTGAGAGACTCACCCATCATAAAATAGACTAAGATGTACAATTATTTAGTAGGCGCACTCGAGAGCACCTTAATTAATTTAATATATGCTGGTTCACACAATACTAGCTTTTCCTGGGCACTAACAACATTCTCACATGATGAATTCATCAAGCCAATTACTTTTAAGTCTTCCCTAAAGGAGTGAAACAAGTCTTTTTTTATACATTAAAATACAGCTAGCTTAGTGGACGTTACACTACCTAAGCTTTTGTATTTGATCTAGCTAAATAAAATTTTAATTTGTGGCTAAAGTAATTAAGCCAGACCATTATCCCCTTATCCTCGTCATTTTAGCATCAAAATCTTGACTAGTTTTTGGTTGTATGTCATCCTACAACCAAATGACGGGTTCTAAACAAGTTGATGATTCGGAGAAGCAAATACAACTACAATACAACCCGTTAATCCGCCACCAATATAATGTTCTCCTCGATTTTTATTCTTTGTTTCGTTTTGATATTAACCGCGCTTCCATTGATCTACTCTTGCTTTTTAATCATTGCCCTTGCCACCTTGCCATTGTTATTAATACCTCTTTTAATTATTAGAATATTTCAGTTCTTCAAGTATGGCAAAAGCTACAAAAAACTAACATATTTAAAGAATTTAATTCAAGGTTGGCTTTACATAAATGTAATGATGGTTTTGTTAGGGTTATGGATTTTCTTTCCAATTGCTAAATATGTTCCTTCTTTGTAAAAAGTGTTGATTTTAGACTTACCATTCACAAAATGGGTAGAGATTATAGGCATTGTGTGTGGATTTTACCTTTATTAGCTATCTCATATATTCATTAACTCATGCACTAACCCCCATGCTTAATGTTAGAAGCCTCAATTTTCCAAAAGCTTTTTCAGAGATAACCGACGATATCATTATCTGGTGGGCGGAACATGAGGTAATGAAGCGCGTCCCAGCATTTATGCAACATAAAATGCTTGGACTTCCCACTCGAAGATGGATTAGGGTATCAATTCTCGTCTTAATTGGTTATAACCTCATAACCTTGTTCACTTATATTGCAGTATTATCATTAAGGAAAATTTGTCAGCAACGACCTAAAGTAGCTGAAAGTGGTTTTTGGTACAAACTAGTTGGAAAACATTTACATAAAAAATACGTACTATATTTTGCCAATGGTATGAGATTAAGCATCAACTTTATCATGAGCTCTTTGTTGCTTCTTGGTACATGGGTTACATACTTAGGATGGCGCCTAGATATGAACTCAACCGAAGCCAAACATATATGGGAGTTCGGAGTATGGACTCTTCTTAGTCTTTTAATATGCTCATTTCTTTGGTTAATTAAAACATTTGTGTTACTAGCGTGGGAGATTCATACGGTTTATCATAGATTAGAAGCTCTCCTCTGAAGAAAACGAATCTTGAGCTGATTCTTTTTATCTTAGAGGCCAATTTTTGGTCTTCGGGGAGTTCCCCCTGAAGCTTGTAAGCTAGGATGGGATCCATCCAGTTCAGCTCATGTGTGTCGCAGCATGTGCTAACTGCTTCGTCCACACTTTTCTGTCGACGCACCTCCACATATACAGATCGATTCAACTAAGTCAAATTCGAACTTGCAAGTTTGGAGACTACATCGGCTTGTGCGTTCTGACCCCTTGGGATTAGTTTGACTTCAAAAGTTCTCAGCTTTGCAATGACAGTTTTGATTTTTGCGAGGTAATCCACCATTGAAGGCTCTTTGGCTTCGTACTCGCCCCGAATCTGATTTGCAACAAGCCGAGAATCTGTCTTTAAGAGGACATGCTCGGCTTCCAACGCTATACACAAGTCTAAGCCAATGATCGCTGCTTCGTATTCGGCTTCGTTGTTTGAAGCTTTGAAAGAAAATTTTAGTGCATATTCAAAGGATTTTCCTTTGGAAGAGGTTGTGATGACCCCTCCCCCCAAACCATTGACGGTGGAAGATCCATCCGTGAAAACAATCCAGATTTTCTTTCCTTCGTCAAGTGTCTCTTGGTAAGAACACTCGGCTAGGAAATCTGCTAAGGCTTACGCCGTAATAGCTGCGCTCGGTTGGTAATTGATACTGAACTCAGTGAGCTTGAAAGCCCTCTTTATTAGTCTACTGGATTTCTCCACCTTGCCGAGGACTTTTTCTAGCGGCTGATCAGTTAGGATCACTATTTGATGAGAATCAAAATAAGGCCTTAACTTCCGAGCGGCTACCACTACTACATATGCTAATTTCTCGAGTAGGGGGTAGCGGGTCTCAACATCTGTCAGAGTGTGGCTGACAAAATAGATCGGCTGCTGAACCTTTTCTTCTTCCCTTAGCAACACCGCACTCATTGTGGCTTGACTAACCGCCACATATAAGTACAAAGTTTCTCCTTCAGCTGGTCTAGCCAGTGTTGGGAGTTGAGCCAGATGCTCACGAAGGTGCTGAAAGGCTTGCTTTTGCTCGTCTCCCTAGATGAGCTCCTTTGATTTTGGGATTTTGAGCGCTTTGAAGAAAGGCAACCCTTTATCCGAGGCTTTAGAGATGAACCTAGACAAGGTAGTCATTCTACCAGTTAGGCGCTGAACATCCCTCTTAGTTTTTAGCTCAGGGAGACCCAGAGCTGCTTGCACTTTGGCGAGATTAGCATCAATCCCCCTTTTACTGACCATGAAGCCTAGGAACTTGCCTGACTTTACGCCGAAGACACACTTCTTTGAATTCAGCTTCATTTGATGTTTGCGAAGGGTAGCGAAGGTTTCGGCCAGGTCCGTAACATGGTCTTTTTCCTCTTTGCTCTTGACGATAGAATCATCAACATAAACCTCTATGTTATGGCCTTTTTGCTCGGCGTATACCAGATAAACCAACCTTTGATATGTTGCCCTCGCATTTTCAATCTGAAGGGCATCATTTTATAATTGTACACCCCGGAACTCATAACAAATGTTGTTTTTGCTCGGTCATTGGGGTGCATGAAGATCTGATGGTATCTTGAAAATGCATCCATGAAGCTGAGCAGGGCATGGCCACTTGTCGAGTCGACTAGCTGATCGATCCTCGGCAAGGGAAAAAAGTCCTTCAGACATGCCTTGTTCAGATCCGTCAAGTCCATGCACATTCTCCAGCTACCATTTGCCTTCTGAACCATCACCACATTAGCCAACCATTCTGGATACTGACAAGGCTCGATGAACCCCGCATCCAAGAGTTTTTTTTACTTCGGATGTGATGTCTTGGTTATTTTGAGCGGAGTAGTTTCGCTTTCTTTTGCTTAATAGGTCGACGTACAGGGTCGACATTAAGCTTGTGAGAGATGAGGTTCGGATCAATCCCAGGCATTTCATCTGTCGAGAATGCGAACACATGTTTGTTGTCCCGGAGGAGTTGGATCAATTCAGCGCGAACATTTATCTCAAGTCCTAGTCTGATGTTGAATCTCCTTTCAGAATTTTCTTCGGCAAACTCTATTGACTTTTTCTAGTTATCTGAGGCTGAAGCCTTGGCGTTGGACTCTTCATATTCTGGCCTGCTGTCAATATCAGTAAGCTTCCCAGACTTTGGCTTTTCTTCTGAGTCTTTTGGATAAAATGAAGAACTAGCCCTTTCACCCCTCTAGGATTTTTCCTTTGCCGGGGCTCTTTGGGCCGAAGCACTTAAGCCCTTAGGCTTTTTTGCACTACGGTCCCGGTCTTTCTCCTCCTCATCATCCTGGTCGCTACGGCGACCTTTGGATGGCTTGAGGTGGTTACATCTCTAGGCTTCCTTTTGGCTGCCCTTTAATTTTTCGGAGTGCCCCTCGTCCGAAACATATATCATTGTTTGATGGTACGTTGATACGACTCCTTGGATGTCGTGAATGAGGGGTCTCCCCATGATCACATTATACACAGAAGGTGCATCTATGACCAAGAATTCGACCATGATGCTCCGCACTGCTCGGCCTTTGCCGATGGTGATGGTGAAGAGAATCTTCCCATCTGGATATGATGAGGAGCCGTTAAATCCTGATACCGGGAATGGTACCGGAGTTAGGATCTTGGCCTCTATCTTCAGCTGGTTGAATGCTCCCCGAAAGAGGATATTCGCCCTGCTACTGCCGTCAACGAGAGTTCGCCAGACGTTGCGGTTTGCAATACCCATTACTATCACCAATGGGTCATCATGGGGATACACCACCCCCTCAAAGTCTTCGGCTGTGAACAGGATGTTCGGCACCGGAGACTGGGGCGCCTGGAGCTCAGCTTGATTGACTTGGTGGGTCAAACCCCTCAAGTGGCGTTTTACTAGGCCCCGAGACTTTCCTCCGGAGATAACAAGAATATCGAGGGTGTCTTTGTCTTGCTGCTTGTCTTTTTTCCTGAGAATGTCAAGATCTTGCCGATAGTCTCTCTCGGCTTTCTTTTCCTCGCGGCGGTCCACGAGATACTTTTTCAGGTAGCCCTTCCGCACCAAATCCTCAATCTGGTCTTCCAGCTGAAGGCAGTCCTCGGTACGATGTCCAGATGATTCATGGAACTCGCACCATCGGTCTTTGCCCTTCTGCTGATGCCATGGTGGCAACGGGCGAGGCTTCTTGAATCTCCCCTTGTCCTTTGTCGTGCTGTAGATCTTTGCACGAGGAAGAGTGAGGGGAGTGTATGAATCGTATCGTCCCGCATAGGGGGTGAACTTCCCTTTTTTCGGTTCGGCGGCTGAGGACGGTTCTTAGGCTTAAGCCTTCCCTTTCCTCGACGCCGGATTCTCGGACATTTGTCCTTTAGCTTTCCCAGCCCCTGATTGGGATTGGGATTTTGATTGTTCCACTCTTTGGCTCGGATGAACTTATCCGAGGCATCTAGAGCTTCCTCCAAGGTGTGCGGGGGATGCATGATGACCATGAAGTCCAGGAATTTTCCAACTTGAAGACCATTCCGTAGTGCAAATACGACAAGGCCTTGATCCAGGCTTGTAATGCTGGATGACTCGTTGCTGAACTGAGTCAAGTAATCGCGGAGGCTTTCACCTTCGGCTTGCTGCAAACCCATAAGTTTTGCAATTATCTTTTCTAGGTGGTTAGCAGTGGAAAATTTGCTCTTGAATTTGTTGGAAAGATCACTCCAACCAGAGATAGAGCCTTCTTTTACCCCTTTGGTGATCCACGATTGTGCAACACCTTTGAGGGTCGTTGGAAAGTACTTGCACCAAGTAGCCTCGGACCTAGGGTTAAGATACATGTGCCCCTCATATGAGGCAATGTGATCCTTCGGGTCCGAGATGCCATCGTAAGTGATGTGCACCGGTATTTTCACCGTCGGCACATGCTCTTCCAGTATCCAACTCTGGAAAGGCGAACTTGTAGGGACCATAACGGTCTTCCCTCTTGGCCTAGCTGAAGGGACCATAAATATACATATAAGAAAAACAATATTGAGTGGGATCTCGTTACATTCCTTTGTACGTGAATATTTTTCTAATGTATATTTTTCATAATTTTATAAATACTACCTCCATTTCACATTTTTTGCAACTTTTGCCAAAAACGCCCCTGCTTATTTTTTGCAACTTTCTAAATTTTCCAGTTTTAGTAAAGTTTTTTTAAAATGAAATTACTCAAACACCTTTACTAATATTGTCATAAACCGAATTAGTAACTTAAAACAAAACTTAATACTCTGTAAAATTCTAATCAAACTTAATTAATCTAATTATTTCCCCCAAATCTAATTCATCCCCTCTACCCAATAAATTCAATTCATTCAACTATCATCAAATCTTTCCAGAATTCAAACTCAATTCTTGAAGTTCTTCAATTCCCTAGTTTTTTTCTCTATCCTTCAATCTGACCCCCCCCCCTCTTTCTCTTCCAACGAAGATAGATCATCGGGGTGATGGAGATCTACGCTTGGACAACGATGACGGAAAGTTCGCAATTTATGGTGATGGTTGAGCCACCAATTTTGAACGAATTTAGGGCGAGATTGGTCGTGGTTATTTCGATGAGGGTTGGTGGTCTATAGGTGGTCGGTGGGTAGCTAAAGGTAAGCGGTTTGCCTTAGTGTAGGGGCGTTAAGAGGTGGTTGTGTGGTGGTTGTGGGTTAGGTTTTAGGTTTTGGGAGGTATGATTGTAGTGGTTTTTAGTTTGTGTGGGCGTGTGGTGGCTACGGGATAGGTTTTACGTTTAGGGTGTAGAGGCGAGTGGGTGTGTGGTGGTTGGGCTGTGTCCGTGAGGTTGGTGTTAGCGGGTGGTATTGGATGGTGTTGCGAAGTGGTGGTGCGTCAAGGTGGTAGCTTGTGTGGCTGGTGTTATAAAGGGTGGTTAATTTTTAAAATATCCCCAATTACTCTCTCCTTCCTTAAGCACATGGTCCTCCTTGTTCTTAATCTCCATTTTTTAATTTTTGTCTAAGATTTCGTGTTGACTTCAAAGTTGCAAAAAAATGTGAAATAGAGGTAGTACAATTTAATGATATACTTGTATGACAATAAGCGAACGAAATTAAGAAGAAATGATCTGGTCTTGTATGATACTTTCTAATTTAGTCTGATTTTAGCAAGAAATAAGTAATAAGAAAAAGGTGAAAAGAACAAAGCCTTAAGCGCCTAAGGCGTTTCGAGACTGCCCCCACCTCCCCATTTATGACTCTGCTAAACATACATTTTAAATATTTTGTCTTACTTTCCTTGTGTTCTTTTGTCTCCTCGATCAACACGATTCATCGGCAAACATTATTTGCCATGGTATATGTTTCCTCCATCATTTATTTATTACAAAGTACAATATTTGCTTTATACAATAATCATACTCCCTCCGTGTTTTAATAAGTGTTATACTTACTAAATCCGGTCGTATTTTAATAAGTGTTACATTTCCTATTTTGACAAAAAACTACATTTAAATATTATATCTCACTTCTCTCATGGTCTCCACCTAAACTCAATACTACTTTTTTTTTATTATATTTTTCCTCTTACATTCATTACTTTTCAATAAATTATTAACCCTACTATCTTTCTTTTATAATTTTTTAATACTCCAACTACTCTACTTATCTCCTATTTTAATTTAAGTAAATTAAATTGCCTAAAACTAAGTGTCGGTCAAATTGTAACACTTATTAAACACGAAGGTAGTACACATTTTATTACCATCTAATGTGATTTTTATGTTAAGGGAAATATAATCATATAGGTAGTGTTAGCTTCATCTTCGACTTTTTATATAATGTTTACTTGAATATAAATAAAGAAATTAATGATCAAAGTTGTATATTATTATGCATCAAAGTCAGTTATTGCAATAATTAAAGAACGGAATAAATATACTTTTAACTTGAACTTAATTGTCGTTTCGTCCATGACTACAACCAAAAGAAAATGGCTAAGTGTAGAATAAAATATATAAAAAGGAAACAATACAAAATAATCAACAATAAGAGAGGTTTCGAGTTCGAGCCCACTAAATACGGAATACTCTTATTGGGAGACTCACCCACTATAAAATAGACTAAGATGTACAACTATTTAGTAGGTGCACCCGAGAGCACCTTAATTCATCTGTTACAGTGGATAGTAATCATAGTATTCCAACAACAACATAATTAATTTAATATATGCAGGTTAACACAATACTAGCTTTTCCTGGGCACTAACAACATTCTCACATGATGAATTCATCAAGCCAATTACTTTTAAGTCTTCCCTAAAGGAGTGAAACAAGTCTTTTTTTATACATTAAAATACAACTAGCTTAGTGGACGTTACACTACCTAAGCTTTTGTATTTGATCTAGCTAAATAAAATTTTAATTTTTGGCTAATAGCCACAATATAAATAGAATAACAAAGTAATTAAGCCAGACCATTATCCCCTTATCCTCGTTATTTTAGCATCAAAATCTTAACTAGTTTTTGGTTGTATGTCATCCTACAACCAAATGACGGGTTCTAACCAAGTTGATGATCCGGAGGCAAATACAACTACAATACAACCCGCTTATCCGCCACCAAAAAAGTGTTCTTCCTCGATTTTTATTCTTTGTTTCGTTTTGATATTAATCTTGCTTCCATTGATCTACTCTTGCTTTTTAATCATTGCCCTTGCCACCTTGCCATTGTTATTGATATCTCTTTTAATTATTAGAATATTTCAGTTCTTCAAGTATGGCAAAAGCTACAAAAAACTAACCTATTTTAAGAATTTTATTCGAGGTTGGCTTTACATAAATGTAATGATGGTTTTGTTAGGGTTATGGATTTTCTTTCCAATTGCTAAATATGTTCCTTCTTTGAAAATAGTGTTGGTTTTAGACTTACCATTCACAAAATGGGTAGAGATTATAAGCATTGTGTGTGGATTTTACCTTATTAGCTATCTCATATATTCATTAACTCATGGACTAACCCCCATGCTTAATGTTAGAAGCCTCAATTTTCCACAGGCTTTTTCAGAGATAACCGACGGTATCATTATCTGGAGGGCGGAACATGAGGTAATGAAGCGCGTCCCAGCATTTAAGCAACACAAAATGCTTGGACTTCCCATTCGAAGATGGATTAGGGTATCAATTCTCGTCTTAATTGGTTATAACCTCATAACCTTGTTTACTTATATTGCAGTATTATCATTAAGGAAAATTTGTCAGCAACGACCTAAAGTAGCTGAAAGTGGTTTTTGGTACAAACTAGTTGGAAAACATTTACATAAAAAATACGTAGTGTATTTTGCCAATGGTATGAGATTGAGCATCAACTTCATCATGAGCTCTTTGTTGCTTCTTGGTACATGGGTTACATACTTAGGCTCGCGCCTAGATATGAACTCAACCGAAGCCAAACATATATGGGAGTTCGGAGAATGGACTCTTCTTAGTCTTTTCATATGCTCATTTCTTTGGTCAATCAAAACATTTGTATTACTAGCATGGGAGATTCATACGGTTTATCACAGATTAGAGCATAGAATCATACCCATAAGTGAGCAATTGTATTTCCTCGGCATCCTTGGTTGCCACCGCTATGATATTCTTAAACTACTGCCTAAATCGAGTGCACATCAACAGACAGCCAACTCGCCGCCACCCAGGGAATACTGCATCTTTCAATCCATATCGATTTGCTTGTACCCCCTTCAAAACTTAACTAGACGATTCGCCTCGATTTCTAAAGAGTTTAGAGAGACTCTAAACATTCGAAAGTGGGAAAGGATCACGAATCACTTGTTAGTCCCCAAGAATCCTACTATGGATGATTTGCAACGGGCTATTAAACACTTCAAAGTGGCTAAGAAACTTTTGTTGAAGGAGACGTACATCTCTGATATTCTAACAGCATATGATCCAGAAGCTGATTATTGGTACGTACGATATATACTTTCTCCTTGTTACTTTCATCCTTTCACTTCATCATTTTTTATGTTTTTTTATTAATTATTAAGAGACTGTTTCACATCCACTTAATTCAAATGTAGGAGTTAGGTTGCACTAAGGCTATGTTCGGTTCACTTAGTTTGATTTGATTTTTGTACTGTAGATAGTTGAGATCATAACTAATTTGGTCTGGTATGAGTTTACAATTTTATATGGTATGTATGTATGTGGGAAGTCGATTTAATCTTTTAGTTTTTACTATAATTTTTTGTTCTTTCAACATGGAGAAGTCATTGTCAAAGAATTTTCTATATACGTCCTAAAAAGTAAGCACCCAATCAATTATCTCCAATCACACCTCCTATTAAGGCTCTTATGATAAAAAGGTTTCATCGATCATTTTCTGTCACATCTACTTTTTCATATTGAAGTAACATTTGACTGGCATATAATTTCCATATATCTAATATATATAATATTATGCTTTTCAAAATCAACAAACAACATTGCCTAACATTCATGGGTCATTTGTGTGAATATTATCAGGGAAAATTTGAACAAAGTAATGGTAGATCATCATAAGGAACTCAATTCTCAAGGGAAATGGTTTATGGAATTATTTAACCTTAATTCAACACCAAGGGAAGAAAACGGAGAAGGTGAGCAGGAAATTGTAGCACAATACATGCTAATCAAAGCTGTAGAATTAAAACTGAGCAATATTAATGATGTAAGCACTTTGTTACAGGGGTACCGAATTCGTACATCAACCAAGAGAATTCTTCACAAATATGCTTCAATGATGATCAAAAAACATGGGTGGTAAGTAAACTGATGTACTCATCTCCCTCGATCTCAAAAAAAAATTGATTGATGATCTTGTATGCGTTTTTTCTACTCAAACAAACTAAGAAATTCAATTACATACAGAGAAAATAGAATCACATAACACTAAATCACGCATATAGTATTTTATGTCATGTTCTCTTCACCTAAAAAAAATATTATTAAGGATAATTTCAGTTTTGAAAAAAATAAATTTCAATCAGAAAATATTAGTAATTTTAATGAACATATATACTCATAGAGACAGTGGCGGACCTGGGCTTGTGCCTGGTGGGTCAAGTGACTCACCAGGGCCCAAAAAATTTTTTAAGTTTTTTTTTTTTTTTTTAAAAATAAAAATAAAAAATACTAACGTCTGAAAATCCGTCCCTCAAGTTCGCATCTTCCTCTTCGCCTCTTCCTCAGACACTTACTAACTTTTAACATTTCCTTCATCCCTGATATAAAAGTTTTCTTCATGTCAAGGATTTTATGTTTGTCTTCAATATCAATTATCAATGGACTATTGCTTGTACCTTTTAGATATTACTCTAATACGGAGTACTTGTATTATATAAGGTGGTATAGAGGAATAAGTGAATGCTACTCAATTACTCTTCCATAAAACTTTGATGATGAAAATAAATGGGTTCTGCAATGTAGTCAGACCTCAGTTCCTCTTCGCTAGTTCGCTTCATCTTCCTCTTCGCATAATTTCAGGTTAGTCATCTACTCATCTACTCATCTTTCAGCTTTTTTTTTATTTATTTATTTAATTGTTGATATTACTTGTTAGTTGATAGTTATGAATTATGATTTAGTAATACTAAATTTGAACCCTAAATCCCTAATTGTTCAATAATCAACTCAATTTCAGAGAATTTTGCATTAACTGAATTGTGAATTTGTGAAATGTTTGAACCCTAAATCCCTAATTGTGAATTTGTGAAATGTAAAATGTTAGTTATCAACTCAATCCCTAATTGACTAATTGTTCATAATCTACTGCTCTTCGCTAGTTTGCTCACGCCTCCAGTGCTGGCTGTGCTACTGGCCTGCTGGCTGCTGCTCGCCTAGTCGACTGCTCCAGCCTCCAGTGCTCTGTGCAGCTGTGCTCTGTCCTCTGCTGCTCGCCTAGTCGCCTGCTCCAGTGCCTAGTCGCTGACTTGCTGTCTTGCTGAGTGTTGGGCATGGCCCTGCTGCAGTGCTGCTCCGCCTGCTCCGCTGCTCGCCTCAATCATTCAGCGCCTGCCGCCTCCGCCTAGCAAGGTAGGTAATCATCAATTGATTCTTTTTTTTTTTGTCAATTTTTTATCAAATTTGCATTACTTGTCTCTTAAAATTAGTATATACGGTGAATGTTCATTGAATTTGCATTATTTGTGCAAATTGAATTTTCTATTTGGATGATCTTTGTAAATAATTTTTTTGGGGAATATTGCTTGATTTAGTTGAATATTGCTTGATTTAGTTGAATATGAACCGTCCAACCAATTATGAATAGGGGTAATTCGCTGTTGGGGTTATTTGCATATGATTCATACTTGTGATTTCATTTGTTTTGTTAACTTTGTGTTTGATTAGGTTGTTGAATTTATATGCAGGGAAGACTCAGCTTATCAATCATTTTCTAATCAACAAGAGTTGGTATATTGTTAATTTGCCTGGATATGGGTGAGTCTCTGTAATTTTGGTTTTAATTTGGGCAATTTCTGTAATTCTTGAGTCTATTTCATGCTGGGAATATTGTATACTTGTATTGTGAATCAATTGTTATTCGTGTTTATTCCTGATCATATGCTTGAATCATATTGAAGTGCCAAAAAAGGATTGCTTTTACGCCTTGAGGCATTGCTTCAAAATTATTGATCATCCTGTAAAACATGTTGCGGACTGATATGTATTTAGGCTACATCCGTTGTAGTTAATTTGGTCTCCAATCGTGTTGTTTATTTTCAAGTTTAGGAAGTAAATGTCTCCTTACATGTCATTGTGAAATTTTACTTTACATATTTGATTATCGATTGTGACTCACCAGTCGGAAATTCCTGGGTCCGCCACTGCATAGAGAATCCATGAAAATAAGTTCTAATTAGCAAATATAATTTTAGTACAATAAAATAAATTTTAGCTAAACAAGAGATAATCATACATTACCCACTCAGAAAAAAATGAAGGCGATATATGTTTGACATCTTGGAGTTACATGTATATGAGCAGAAGAGGGCACACAATCAGTGCATGATCCTTGCCAATACGCTAAGCAGTGCAGATGAAGTTGGAGGTTGTTTAGACAAAATAATCAGCTGGCTTCTCATAGCTGCGACTTTCGTGATTTGGCTTCTTCTCACTGGTTTGGCTACTACTAAAGTACTTGTCCTCATTTAATCACCATTGTTAGCAGCAACTTTTATTTTCGGGGAATCTTGCAAAACTTTGTTTGAAGGGATCATCTTTGTGTATGTCGTCCATCCCCTTGATGTTGGTGATCTATGTATCATTGACGGCGATATGGTAAGTTTACGTACTTTAATTAGCTACTTTTGTTTTTTAATCGCGACATTTGAAATTTTACACACATTTAAACCACTTAATATAACCTTAGAATCTGTTTTGATTTTGTTACAGTTGGAGGTTATAGCAATTGGAATTTGGACAACTACTTTCACAACGGTGGAAAAACTCGGTACTCAAGAGGTGGTGATACATCCCAATTTAGATTTGGCCAAAAAAGTCATTATCAATCACAAAACCAAGTTTGATTGGACTGATTGCCTAGTATACGCTTTAGGTGATCTGAACACGACAACCATCAAAAATCAAAATTATATAATTAATTTGTAAGTATATAATATTCTTCCTCCATTTTTAATTTCCATCTAAGCTAATATACAAATAGATCGATCTCATGACTTAAAAATCTTATGCGGCATGACAAGCTAGTTTGCTAATTAGCTTGTCATTAGAGTTGCTTAAATTGTATGCGGTCATTTTCTAAATTGGTACTCCGTAGTAATTAACTTGCTTATGCATGTTTTAGTTTCAGGGATGAACTAAAGCAGGAAAAGTTTCAATTTCTATCAAGTTCACAAAATCTAACAGTCTCAGTAACAGAAGACGATAGCAATGATAATCATAGCATAAAGTTAGTTATATGTCTGGAATACAAGGCAGCAGAAGATACTAAATTTTGGACATACTCTGAATGTCTCCGGCGAAGAGATGAACTTAAAGCTGATTTTTGTCTACTTATGCATGATGCTATTAGCATATTCAAAGCTAGACAACAAATGGTTTAACCTTGACTAGTTTTACTACAACTACTTTAGTAGCCATTGTACTGAGTAATTTTTTTATTTCAATTTTTTTTTTTTTTTTTTTTTTTAATATCTGAACTTATTACAAAAAAAAATTAAAAAAAAAATTCGTACATCACTCAAATTTGCCTGATTTAATACATTGACAAAGTAACACAATGTGAATACTGCACACATCTAATATTTCTTTCATTTTTTTTCAATTGCATCACTTCTATAATTACGAAATCTTAGGTAATTTTTGAAATAAAAAAAGAGATAGAGAGAATTAATTCACTAAAAGAGAAAGTACTTAAAAATTAAAACTTTTATTTTTAGAAAGTGATACGTCTAATAAAAATGGAGACAGTATACTATGCACAAATTTAGTACCTTGGATGAGTCCCTAAACATGATACAATATTAATATATTCAATCTTCTACAAAGTGTCAAACCAAACCAACCTAACCCAAAAAAAAAGGAAGATTTCCCTAAAAATTGTTAAATTGTAAATTAATTTCTTATTTGCGTCGGCTTAAAAACTTATTCCCACAATATTGTCCACGTAGAATTATTAGCAGCTTTGTTTTTTTTTTCTTTTTTCTTTTGCAAAGAACCGCTAACGGTGATAGCGGTTCTATGCTTAGAAAACTTCACAGGTTAAAACTTAATACAAAAACCGCTAACATTTGTCGAACCTATATAAAAAACATAAAGCTTTTACCAATCCTAAATAGACCATATTGTGGGAATAAAGTTTCAAACTGACGCAAATAGGGAATTTATTTACAATTCAACAATTTTTAAGAAAATCGTTAAAAAAAAAGTCTTTTCAAAGTGTAATCGACCTTATTTAATCCGAGAAATTCATGACCCAAACGTGATCAGTAACCCACCTAAACTCTACCAAAATCCAATGTTGGCCCGACATGAACTTAACTCAACACAAATTTGACTCGATCTGAACTCAACTTGACACTAGTTTGACCTGTCTTGAACTCAATCTGGCCCGAAGACTCGACAAATATTTGATTCAATCTAATTTATGTTGACTCGCTTGATTAATCAATTGTGATTTCAAACCAAACATATAATCTTCAATAAAGAATTAACCACACTGTCTAAACTTATAATTTTTTGTGCAAATGAGCCACCAAAAGGCAATACAATTACAAACCGGGATAGGGAGATTTGAACCTATAACTTGTTGTACATAGACCTAACAGGCTCTAGTCGTATCACCTAATCAAAAGTAATTCCTAAGTCCTCTAACTAAAGTAGATAGGGAAGTAGGGTCGAATCCACAAGGAAACAATGTTCTTTTACTCCTAATTAATTATTATAATCTAAATTATAGAGTAACCAATTTGTAATGTGTGAATTATACTAATAATTAAACTAAGCAAATTAAGCGAGGGAATAATCGATAATAAAAGGCCTAAGGTATAGGTTCACCAATAAATAATACTCCAGGGTAAAACACAATAATCAATTATCAATGCATCAATTAATCAGATTATAAAGGGTTTTCGCTACGTATTACAATCACAGAATTAATCTACTGGTATTAAATCGCATCTCTCGAATCTTGACTTAACCATTTATAAATTAACCTGCCTATTGAAACTAAGCCTAAACATCAATTCTCATCTCTCGAATCTCGAATTAATATTGCAAAACTCATACAATTAAACCTGCGCAAATCTAATTACATAGTATTAAATCAATCAATAGGGAATTAATCAATCATTAATAATTAACAATAATAATTCACCCATTGTATTATTCATGGATCCCCACAAACCCTAGAAGTAAACCTACTCACACATATTAAAATTTAAACTAAACAAAGCGATTAAATTAAACATGAAATAAAATCTAAATATGAAAACAATAATAAAAAGAACTTGAAGAAGAACAATAATCAAACTAATAATAACAAAACAAAAGTCAACGTTAATTAAAATCTAAAACTAAAACTAATACTAATAAACAAAACTAAACTAAACTAAGACTAAAACTAATAGTCTCCCCGTAGAGAAACAAAGTCAAAGTTTAAACATATGCCACTAAAATTATGTTCACTAAACTAAGATTCTAAGAAGCACACACTACTAGAAATAGGCCAATTTACGACGGACCAGTTCCGACGGACATGAAATCCGTCGGAAAGTTCCGACGGAATTAATATATGTCGGAAATTTACGACGGATTTCCTACGGAATACAAATCCGTTGGAATTTATGGGTTTTTCGACGGAATATTCCGTCGGAAACTTAATCTTTAGACGGAAATGAAATCCATCGGAAGTAAATTCCCTCGAAATAATAGTCTTCCGACGGAATATTCTGTCGGAAAGTTTGTTTTCCTACGGAATTTGAATCCATCGGAATTTTCCTACAGAATTTTCCCTCGGAAGACTATTATATTCCGACGGATTTTTATCCGTAGGAAAATTTTCGACGGAAAAATCCGTCGGAATGGTCTACTGTATAAAAAAAAATTCCAGAAATTTCGAAGCTTACCCTAATACCCAAACCGCCTCTCCTCTCATCTTCTCCCTTTCTCTCTCCTCCTTCCTCTTCTCTTCCTCTTCTTCTCTGATCTCCGCCTCCTCCTTCTCTAACTTCTCCTTCCTTGCCCCTTTTCTCCTTCCCCTCGCCCCTTCCTCCTTCCCCTTTCTCCTTCCTCGCCCCTTTTCTCCTTCCCCTCGCCCCTTCCTCCTTCCCCTTTCTCCTTCCTCGTCCCTTTTCTCCTTCTCCTTTCTCCTTCCTCGCCCCTTCTCCTTCGTCTACGATTTAATGGTTTTTTTGGTCAAATTTGACCATGAAAAGTGTAGATCTAGACTTTTCATGATCAAATTTGGCCTTAATAAACCAAACTCGAACTCAATTTAAGTTTTAAGGTATGTTTTTGTGTTTGTAATTTTTGTTTTTTTTTTTTTTGTACGAATTCGTTGATTTTTTTTTACGTTTTTCGGGGAGGGTTAGGGTTTTGGTTGGGTGGGGTGGTGGTGGGGTAGATCGGTTTGTGGGTGTGATGGTGGGTGGGTGGTTTAAGTGGCTGTGAGGTGGTGGCTGGTGGTGGGGGTAGATCGGTTTAAGGTGGTTATGGGGTGTTTTGTAGATCTGGTGGTTTCTGGTTTTTGGTGGGCGGTGGTAGGTTGTTGTGGGGTGGTGCGGGTTGTGGGGTAGTCTGGTGGGGGTGGTTAGGGGGACTGTACGGGTTAGGGGGTGGGGTGGGCGTGGTGTGGTGGGTAAGGGGGTAGTCTGGTGGGGGTGGTTAGGGGGACTGTACGGGTTAGGGGGTGGGTGGTGGGCGTTGGTGTGGTGGGTAAGGGGGTAGTCTGTTGTAGTGGTTAGGGGGACTATACGGGTTAGGGGATGGGGTGGGCGTTATTGTGGGTGGATAGGAGGGTAGTCAGGGGGCAGGGGGTGGGGTGGGCAGGTGGGGTGGGGGCTTTTTTTTATTTTTTATTTTTTATTTTTCCGACGGAATTTTCCGTCGGAATATCCCACCTCCGACGGACAATTCCGTCGGAACACCTCCCCCACCGACGGAAATTTCCGTCGGAACCTTGCGACTGATTTTCACTGAAAGTCAACAAAAGCGCCGACAGAACAAAATCCGTCGGAAATTCTGTCGGAAAGGTCTATTCCGACGGAATTTCGGACGGAATATCGCAAATTTCTTACAAAATCTCTTCCGACAATGCTTTTCGACGGAATTTCAGGGTTTTCCGACGGATTTTTTCCGTCGTTGATTGACTGTTTTCTAGTAGTGACAAAATCTAACAGAAGTCTAACAATTCCCACCGCCTAACTTGATTGGGCTTCAACAATAAAATCTTTTTTGGGGTTTTCTAATGTCCTGCGGGAGAGTTACAATTCCGGGACTAGTATCCTTGCGCTTGTACCTGCAAAACAACGGAGACTCCTTGTGGTGGGAGTTCCGCCTCCGACGATCAAGTTAGTACTTGTTTGAGGAGTGAATAGTGCGGAAAAGTAAAGGTTGGAAGATCAGGTTCCCCTAGGTGAGGAGTGATCTAGGTGTTTAGGTTCTCTAGGTAAGTGTAATTAATTGCTTAACCCCCTTTAATGAGGATTAATGAGGGTATTTATATGCCTTGGGAAGTGTGCCAGTCCTAGGTTTAGGTCAACCTAGGGTTGATTGGGCTTCTTCCAAAGATTGGGCCTAGGTGGCCGTTTTTGCCCATTTGGCATAGAGGAGGCCACATGGCGTGGCGCAACTGGTCCAAGGTGGACTAACCATCGCTTGACACGTGGTAGGCTCCAACTGGTCCATGTGTCACATGATGATTGGCTGGGGAAAATCCCCTAATCATTTGCCCCTCACAGGTGGCACGTGACTGGTCACATGTCACCTGTGACAGGTGTCGGCCTGTAACAAGCAACGGACTGCTACAGGTGGCGTCCTGGAATGGGCCAAACGTTTTTCCCGCTCATTTTTTGAATTCAGAAGTGACCCTTTGCATTCTCATCTTACCCTATATAAGGGCATGTTGACCAAGTCTTTTGTTCACATTTGCAAACTTTTTCAAGAGAACTCTCGGACCCCTGAACTTGAGCTCTGACTTTCTGGACGACTGCTTTTACCAACCGCCTGTTTTTGTTGGACGCCTGTTCGATTAAGCTTTCTTTCAGAACTTAAGTTTCAGGTAACCGTCTGTTCCTTTATCCTTTTTCTGTTTTGCTTTTGCACTTTTTCTTTCTTTTTTTGAAAATGAGACCTCAAAAGCATCCGGCACGACCTAGGTTAGCAATCAGCCGGTCACCGGGGACGGCTGAGTCTAGGACTAGGGGCGCCGACTGCCCTGCGATACTTCAAACTTTGAGCAAGTCCCGGAATCCAACTGTCTTTATATCTATGCAGGACAGTATGGCAAGAACAAAAAGAACAAAGAGGATTGAAAGCTCTGATGGCTCCTCTTTCCGGGTTCAGATTAGCGAGCTGTCGGACCAGCCGCCTGATACCGTAGGGACCCAAGGTGGCCCATCTGCCGAGAGCTTTGAGGAGGGATCTAAGGTAGCCCCTTCCCACTTCAATGTTGACCTGGCCAGTCAGCAGATGGCCCCTAAAGAAGAAGAGGGGTCGGCCCCCTCAGGGAGAGGGGAGGAGTCGGGCTCTTCTGATAGCGAGTCTGACTTTAGCTCTTCAAGCCTCCTCTCTATAAACTCAGAGGAAAGGCATTCTAGTTTGCATGAGGCGAGA